TGCAATGAAACAGAAGGGCCATGAACCAAGAATACTGTATCCAGCACGATTATCACTTAAATATGAAGGGGGGATTAAACAATTTCCAGACAAGCAAAAGTTGAGAAAATTTACCTCCCACAAACCACCTCTACAGGGTATTTTAGAGGGACTGTTCTAGATGGGAGCACTCCTAAGACTAAATAGATGTCACCAGAGAAAACAAAATCACAGCAAAGAAAGTAGACCAACCAAATACTAACTAAAGACAAAAAATAAAATCAACTACCCACAAAAGCAGTTAAAGGAAACACAGAAGAGCACAGAATAAAACAACCAACATAGAAAGAATGGAGGAGGAGGAATAAGGAGGGAAAGAAATGAAGAATCACAAGACAGTATCTATAACAGCTCAATAAGCAAGTTAAGTTAGACAGTAAGATACTAAAGAAGCTAACATTGAACCTTTGGTAACCACGAATCTAAAGCCTGCAATGGCAATAAGTACATATCTTTCAATAGTCACCCTAAATGTAAATGGACTGAATGCAGCAATCAAAAGACACAGAGTAATAGAATAGAGAAAAAAGCAAGACCCATCTATATGCTGCTTACAAGAAACTCACCTCAAACCCAAAGACATGCACAGACTAAATGTCAAGGGATGGAAAAACATATTTCATGCAAACAACAAGGAGAAAAAAGCAGGTGTTGCAGTACTATTATCAGACAAAACAGACTTCAAAATAAAGAAAGTAGCAAGAGATAAAGAAGCACATTACATAATGATAAAGAGCTCAGTCCAACAAGAGGATATAACCATTATAAATATATATGCACCCAACACAGGAGCACCAGCATATGTGAAACAAATACTAAAAGAACTAAAGGAGGAAATAGAATGGAATGCATTCATTTTAGGAGACTTCAACACACCACTCACTCCAAAGGATAGATCCACCAGACAGAATATAAGTAAGGACACAGAGGCAATGAAAAACACACCAGAACAGATGGACCTAATAGACATCTATACAACTCTACATCCAAAAGCAACAGGATATACATTCTTCTCAAGTACACATGGAACATTCTCCAGAATAGACCACATACTAGCTCACAAAAAGAGCCTCAGTAAACTCCAAAATATTGAAATTCTACCAACCAATTTTTCAGACCACAAAGGTATGAAAGTAGAAATAAATTCTACAAAGAAAACAAAAAGGCTCACAAACACATGGAGGCTTAACAACATGCTACTAAATAATCAAAGGATCAATGA